ATTTTTCAACAAGATAATGCGCCGGTTCATCGGGCAAAAGTCAATCTTGCTTGGTTCAAGTCGCAAAAAATTAATGTTTTACCGTGGCCATCATTATCTCCCGACTTAAACCCCATCGAAACTCTGTGGGGAATATTATCGAGGAAGTTTTATGCTGAAGGAAAGAAATTTAGAACAAAAGAACAGTTAAAAGCTGTCAGACTATAATCGTGGAAAGAAATTAGCATTGCTCAACTTCCAGATTTAGTCAGATCAATGCCTGATAGATTATTTGAAGTTATTAAGTTACATGGTGCGAAAACACGATATTGATCGGCATTTTGAATTCGTTTTTTTCTATTTCATTTACAGTGGTGTTACAGTTTATCAAGGTCAAGCAAACTATCTTTATTTTCGTTTTCTTTTATTAAAGAACAATAATAATTCTCTCTCTTTTTTATTACAAAACGCTCTTGTATATATATATAAATACATGTGTGTGTGTGTGAGTAGAAGAAAAAAAGATCAAAGAAGAGAAGAGAATGTAGTAGAAGAAGATCAAAGAAGAAAGGGGAAGGAGAAAGAAAAGAAAGTATATGTATGATAGTAAAGAAAGAAAATACATATATCAACCATGTACTACATCTAGCGAACAAGAATATAATTGTTTGCTTACACCTCCCCGTCCTAAGCAGATGTGGTGTACCACATCGAGGGGTAAAAAAATAGAATGAACAAATAAACAAAAACATGTAACATCAACGGTAACAATAAAAGTAACATAACATAACGAATAACAACTAATTTGCACTCTTTCTCTCTTGTGTTTTTTTATTGTTTGAATAGCAGTTATCAGATTAGGATATCGATTTATTATTATTTGTGTACGTTCCTGCTGAGAGCTGCCACCATCTCCATACACGACATAAAATTTTCTTGATTGCCACAATTATCATTGTATGAATGCTGATAATCATATGGATTTTTGTATATGTAGTCGAATTTGAAAAACTATGATTTATTCTCGTTCGAGAAAAGATTCATTTGTGACGAATGAACTTGTTTCATGTTATCATGGATATCAAGAACATCAAATGTTTGGGGTCCTAGCTGTTTGATGATAGCGTACGGTCCTTCATATAATTCTCTAAATGCTGGATGCTTTCCAGGTTTAATAATGAAGCCTTTTTGTCCGAACATAAATTGTATGTTCGGTCGATTTCGATCATATCGACGCTTGGGGTGTTGTTGCTGTTGGCGAATATTTTTATTTACTTAATCCATATAAACCTTTTCAAATCGAAGGAAATGATTCCAATAATCATTAGCTCTTGGAATAGTGACTTGTTTTTTTATTGGATCAAAAATAGAAGTTGGTTTCCTCTTATGAAAAATTTGAAATGGTGAAAATTATATGATTTGATGAATCGAGCTGTTGTAAGATGATACAATGGTATTTTAGGTAGACATCCCAATCATCGTAATGTTCATTTGTATATTTACTGAGTTGTTGTTTAAATGTTGCATTAAACCGTTCAATCACCCCTTGCGATTGTGGATGATACGGTGTTGAAACTGTATGAACACAACCTAGTCGATTGGTAGCTGCTTCGAAGTTTGCAGATGTAAAATGTGAACCACAATCTGTCTGTAGTTGGTGAGGAGGACCGAATTCCAAAGTTATATCGATAAGAAATTCAGCCGCTGTTTGTGTCGAATCATTAGGAACGTCTTTGCTGATGATATATTTTGAAAGATAATTTGTTAAAGCGATTACATATCGATTTCCATTTATCGATTGTGGGAGCGGTCCTGTAAAATCCATTTGTACTAAATCAAATACTTCACCTGGCGATTCAATAAGTTGCATTTGTTCTGGAGGTTTATACCGTCGAATATTGTAATGTGCGCAAGCTGTACACGATTGAATATATTGAATCACATTTTGACGAATTGTTGGCCAAGAACATAGATCATTAAGCCGATTCCAGGTCTTGTCCCTCCTAAAATGTTCAGCTGTTGGATGATCATGAAAGGAATAAAGAATTTCATTTCTTAATGAATTGGGGATAATTGGGACGTATGTCCCATTTCTTAATTGTATGTTAAGAATTTCGTTTATCATTAAATAATGGATATTAGGTTTATTATTAAGTTCACGAATCATGGATTGAACATCAGGATCATTATGTTGTTCATGTTTTTATCGATAAGGATCAAGAGGTGATAATTGTTTTGAACAAAACGATGCTGACGATGCATTCGATGAGGTAGTTGTTGGAATATCTCCTGTTGTAGTAGTTTGTTGTTTTGTTTTTGTTCTTGTCATTATAGCAACACAGATACCATCTAATTCATCATTAGTTTCTTCATTATTGATTAGTGGATGGCGTGACATGTAATCAGCGTCACAGTTTCGTGTTCCGGGTTTGTGTTTAATTTCAACAATATCATAATCTTGAAGTTGTAATTTTCAGTTATTCACTCTTCTATTTGTAGATGATCGATTCAAATGGATGTTTCGAGCCGGTTGTTGATCAGTTTCGATGATAAATGATTCATCAGCGAGCTAATCTCTCAATTTTTTTACTGACCATATGATACCAAGACATTCACATTCAAATGTTGAATAGTTTCGTTAGGATGAATTTAGTGTTCGAGATATATATATATATATATATATACGATTGGTTTGAGCCCGTCAGGTGTGTGTTGCTTTAAAGCACCAGCAATGCTGAATTATGGTGCATTTGTTGAAAGTACAAATGGAAACTTTTCTTCACGGTATTGTCGTACAGAGGAAAATGTAAAAAAAACTGGTGGTGTAGTTAATGCTGTTTTTAATGCATCCCACGCTATTTGTTCTTGTTCGTCCCAATAAAACTTCTTGTTTTCCTTTTGAAATGGTCGAAGAGGACGAGTTAATTCGGTAAAATTATGTATAAATTTCCGATAAAAATTTGCCATTTGAAGAAATGAATGTACCTGTTTTGCTGCTCTTGGGTTAGTAACCTGGGCAATGACATTAATGTTGGTATTAAGTTGTTTAAATTCTTTAGCATTTATTGTATGTCCAAGATAATCAATTTCAGGTTGCATAAATGCACATTTTGGCGGAGTGAGCTGAAAATTCGTTTGGTTTAATACTGATAAGACATTATTCAAATGTGTACAATGCTCATGAAAGGACTTTGAGAATATTATTATGTCGTCCAAATAAATTAAGCAGAATTACCATCGTCCTGTTGCTAGTAAATTGTTAAGTACTCGTTGTATTTAATCTTCCGATTTATGTAGGTAAACAAGTGTATCTTTGCTAAGTGATAGAAACAAATGCTTATTCTCAATCAATAGCTCCATATCAATGGTTTCAACAGTCAAATGAAAGTTAAGTATGATTTCTCACTTGATTTGATTTCTTTCTAACCGAAAATATTAACCAAACGATTTTTTTCTAGATAAAGCGAATTATCTCCATCTGATTATCTTATTCTTCTACATACAGAAGCAAGTCTTCGAAAAGTAGAATGAACAGCTAGTCGTTCTCAGCAAAATCCTTCGCATCAATGTTTTCTTTAACCATTTGAACTTTAGGTATACTATTTTATTTTATTTCGTTTTTTTGCTGTTTAGGAAAATTATCTGATATAATTTTTCCTTCAGGAAACGATTTTTCTTCATTTAATTATTTTATTGATGTTGAGAAACAAGTGGAACTTTCACAATTTCTACGAACAGGTGCTCATTGAAAATCAGTTGCTTTACGTCGTTGGTTTCATCTAATTTCTGAAAGTTAAGTATGAAGTTTCTTTTGTTTTTGTTTTTTTTATGTCGAGAAAAATATTTGAACGATTTGTTTTTAGATGAAATAATTCATCTTCATCTGATCATGTTTTTCCTCTAAATAATCAAGTGGGCTTCTAAAATGTGGTACAAACAGAGGCTCATTTTTAACCAAATGCTTCACATCAATGTTGTCTCTAAGCGAATGAAAGTTAAGTATGACGGCTCACTTGATTTCGTTTCTTCTATGTCGAGAAAATGATCCGACCTATTGTTTTCTATATAAAAAGATTTGGTTTTACATAATCGTTTTCTTTATCTAGATAAAAATGAAAAACTTTCAAAATTACTGCGAACAACTGGTGGTTCCCAATAAATTGGTCCATCTCTATCATTTCAACAATCCACTGAAAAGTAAATGACATTTTTTTACTTCATCCTGTTGTGCCATATCGAGTAAATTATCGGAACGATTTTTTTCTTGGTGAAGTGGTATATTTCCATTCAATCATTCTATTTATCTAGGTAAACACGAGTAGTTCTCAGAATTTGTGCGAGCATGTGCTCATTTTGAATGAACCACTTGGCGTCAGTTTTTTTCACAATCGAATGAAGGTTAAGTATGAATTTTACATATTCAGAAAATCATTTCAGTGACCATTTCGTATATGAAAAGATCTCCTTTTTTATAATCGTTTTATCTTTCTAGATAAACAAGAGGAATTTTAGAAAATGTTAAGAACATGGACTTATTCTCAATCAATTAGTTCGCGTCAATGATTTAATCGGCCCACATAAAAGTTACGTATCATTATTCATTTTATTTTTGCTCTTCACATATTCAGACAATTATGCGAAGGTTTTTCGTACATTAAAGGTTTTATTTTCATTTAATCGTTCTGTTCATTTAGATGAAGAAGCGAACGTATGGAAACTGATATGAATATGTGCTCATTACCAATGAATTCCTTCAAGTCAAAGATTTATCCGACCCACTATAAGTTAAGTATGATGTTTCATTTCATCTCGTTTCATCCATATCGAAAAATAAGTGGAAGGTTGTGTTCCTATGTGAAAAGATCCCTTTATATATTAATTTTATCTATCGATTCAAAGAAGGTGAACTTTGTAAATCATTACGAAAACATCTACATTCACAATTAATCGGTAGACATCAGTGGTTTCTCTAATCGGCTGAAGGTGAAGCGTCAGTTCTTTTATGAGATTGTGTTTGGTTCCTAAGAAAAGTATACACAGGCTCGTGTTTCTTTAAGGTGGTGGGTTTTTTTTCGTTTGATACAAATATATTAGTAAACAAAGTTGTGTATAATTTGACCAACTAGTTGTACTTTACAGTTGATGACTACAGAATGATACTACTTGTTTTCAACCAGAATAAGATGATTATATATTTTTCTAATTGAGTTGGCTTTTTTTAGAGAAGCTATAAGCTATTTCGTAAGGTGCTGACGTTATTTTTTTATGCAAGGCATTGATCGGGGCGAAGGAGAGAAAGAAACAATGAATTGGATGACTTCTGTGTACTTTTTTTTTGATGATAAGTAGCCGTCGTATCAGTGAGGGGAGTGTTTCTACTAAAGTTTTCCAGAGAATGAGCAGTAGCATTATGTAGTTGAAAATAGCATTTCATGTGTAAAATTTAAGTTTCGATGAAGGCGCACACCCTTTATATATTCAGCCGAGACACTTGATAACTTGAGTGCTTTATAATATGTTATTAATATTTGATTCTTGCTCACTTTTTAATAATTTTTCTTTTAGATTTTTGCGTTTGATCTCTTTTATCAATTAATGCAATTACGATCATGGATTCAATAGAAATGTTTCGCTTATGGGTGAGTGGCAGTTACTTTGAACTTTCAGATGCGTTTCACAATGCACGTCAGCGATTGTTGCCAATTGGTAGCTGCAATGTACTGATTTCTAGTAAGTTTTCAATTTAATCAGAGCTTTTTGAAAAGAAAATCGTCATCTATTAATAACTCTCGCTTTTATGTTTATGTTTCGTCAAACAAAGTCTTCAAAATAAATACAGAATGTGCTGAATTATAAATACTATTTTCTTAATATCTTATGTGAGAATATTGCAAGTGGCCAACGTCAGTTGAAGTGAGTAAAAGTTTTCGTGTAACATCACAGAGAATTCATCTGAAGCAACTACTTAAAATCATTCCTCTAAGTTACACACTCAGTTTTATGCTAATTTAGCTATCCTGTTTGTGTTGATTAGTCGCTGCTAGAAGGAGATTCCTACGATTCCTTTTAATCATCTTGATTTTTATCTTCCATGGTCATGCTAGATTTTGATTCTCGATCGAATTATCTTCAGGTTTTCAAGTTTCGCTCGTTTCTCACTGAGTGAGTATTGGATTCTAAGACAAAATCGAGTAAAAGTTTCGACAAATATGAAGCTTAAAACTTAGAGAAAATAACGGATATGGTTTCTTCCAGCCTCAGGGAGTCTACCATCCTCTTGTTAATTATTATAAAATGCCATAGAAAGCGAGCGTTAGATACATATAATCATAAAAACTACAAATTATTCGGTTTATCTCTCTTCGTAGACATTTGTCTATCATCAGCCAAGGTGAAAAAACAAAGTATTCAGCTATTCTCCGACCCCTGGAACTAGGGCATTGTACTCTTGTATCACTCTATTTATCCTAATACTCTCCCTGAAAACGATACTGGAGGTCCACAATCGCCTTCATATACCTTATCATAAACCCTTGAGGCAGTTTATGAGGTCCATAATCGCCTTCATAAACCTTGTCATAAACCCTTGAGGCAGTTTATGAGGTTCATAATCGCCTTCATCAACCTTATCATAAACCCTTCAGGCAGTTTATGAGGTCCATAATCGGTTTCATATACCCATTCACAAACGCTGGCGATCATTCATGATGTCCATAAACGCTTTTCAATAGCGTTTCTGAGAGGGGCTCATGGGTATAGTATTTTAATCAAGCCTTTTTAGACTGAGTTTCGAAGGTTATATGAGAGCGTTTATGTGAATTATCAACCCTTTTCAAGGATTTATGAAAGTGCAACGTGTCGCGATCCCTTTAAGCATTTATGAATCTGATCAACCCTTCAATAAACCTTCTAGAAGGCATATTTAACGATAATAAATTCCGTATTAAACCCTTTTTAGAGGGTTTTATAACAGGGTTTATGCCTTGTTGATAAACGGTTGAAATGGGTTTGCTACACGTTGCACTTTCATAAACCCTTTTTTCGTTTATTATTCTACGGTTTTTTTTTACAATGTACGTGTGTAAGCATTATTTTGCTACATTGTTATGGAAGAATTTTGTGATACAATGAAATGAATAAATTGTTTAAAGATTCAATTAAATCCACCAATAAGTTTTGAAAGAAAAAAAATTAGAAAGGAGTATTTTATATTAATAAAAAATTTTAAAAAATATTTCGTAAATATATTTATTACAGAGTGTTTTTAATCATCTTTTAATTGAATTGAATGCTGATCAAAACCTAAAACGACGTCGTTTACTATGGTTCGCAACGATTTTAATTGATCGTAACTTGTCGTGCATGACACGGCGAGTTATGGTCGTAATTCAAGCAGCAAGGGATACGGTGAAATACGATTGTATACGGCCGTGATGTATACAATGTCGTTTACTACCGTTCGCAACGATTGTAATTGATCGTAACTTGTCGTGCATGACACGGCAAGGTCGTAATTCAAGCAGCAAGGAATACGGTGAAATACGATCGTATACCGCCGTAATGTATACAATGTCGTATACGACCGCTTAGGGCAGTCGTAACGCTTGACCTGCGATATTATGTCCTTTTTTTGGCTTAATTCAACTCTTCATGGAGTTTATCTTTTAATATATTTATCTTTTTCTTTATCGTCATCTTCACTATTTGAAGTAACACACAATGAAGACTTGATATTTGAACAAACAATTTATTGAAGATTAAATGGCCTTATGAGGGATCCTTCAACAATAAATTTTATATCATTTTACGTTTAGATCCCCCAAGTAGGGGTGGACCATTTAATTTAATTCGAGGTAACTAACGACGTTAATTAACTAAAAGGATTAATCGTTAAAATTAACGGTTAACGGTTTTGTTCAAAGCGTTAATCCGTTAATATTAACGTTAACTCAAACCGTTAACGTTAATTTTAAATTAACGTACCACCCCTACCCCCAAGCAATCCCTTTTTTAGTCCTTTTAGTTCCTTTAGTACATACTCAACTAATGGCAAGCCGACAAATTTCATTGATTTAAAACCCTCCACTCAAATATTCTCAGTACCTAAAAAAATAACATTCAATAATTCTTCATGCATAGTATCGATCTATATTCTAATGCTTGACATCTTGATCTCAAGGAATATGTGGCAGGCGAGTTTGGAATTCCGTTGAGTTTTAAATAGTTTTTTATTTTATTTTTTTAAATAGAATTTTCTTTAAGACATGACTGAAGAAATTTCGCTCTCAGTAATTATTCGTTGGATTCTATTTACAATGAGGCTTTACATCAGTCATCATTGTCGCTTCTTCGTCTTATGGGAGCGTTAAATCATTTGGTTAAATTAATAATAACTATTTTTGAATGAATGTAAATGATTTTTCAATCTGTTCTCAAAAATGACGATATTAAATGATTCATTGAGTTTATCTTAAACAATATTTGTTTTCATATTCTTTTGTTAAGTATGAATTCTTTCTCTTTGTACTTTTATAAAATGTCGGGGGCATGCGAACATTGAATTTATCTGAAAAAAAAATAAATCTTGCATTTCTCTCTGTATTATAAATTCCCTCTCTCTGTATTTTTTTAAAATATGGGGAGATGGGACCTTGAAGCATTGATTCAATTTATCTGAAAAATATTTCCTTTCTTTTATTTTTTCCTATAATCTAATAACATGAGCAGAAAAGAAATATATATATTTTTTCAATTAATTATTTTTTTGCGAGCATTCCAATCTCAACTGAAATTCTCATGTCAGCTGTAACAAATACGAAATAGAAAAGGGACTAAAGGCACTAAAAGGATTGAAATGATTAAAGGAACAATGTAGATTGAAATATTCTAACATATTTTACTGTATCTTAGCATGAAATTACAACGATATAAAATTATTTTTTGGTCAACCTATGTAATCGAATGAGGAAAGTGAAAGTACGTAGGTGAATATTGATTGACATTCATTTCGTCTGCCTACTATTCGTCCTTTACTATTCTTCAAAATTACAATAGGTTCCCTGAAATTAAATTACATTGCATCCCATACTGTAACACAGACCACTTTCTATAGCTGAGCGAACATAAACATTTATTAGTGTGTCACGCTAAGTTTGATAGTTGACCTAGTAAACTAAAATTTGGTTTACAGTTATTACGGGTAGTAATACTCATTCAACAATTGTGTATCAATCACAAATCCTTCTAATATAATACTATATCTACTGAATATATCGTACACGAATGACTTCGTCTAGATCAGTAAACAAAGAAATATTTTTGTAAATATTTTCTAGAGAAGACTTATGTCGAACCCTGCGTGTTTCGTGCTCGTATTGACTGGAAGTGTGCTTATATTTTCATATAGCCTATTATTGTATCGATCAAAATTAATGCCACTCCTACCAGTTAAATGGAATCGGGGCAACCTCTCTTATGGCAAATCTGTTTCCTTAGAATCGAATTTCGACCGAAGGACTCAATTGAGATGGCTTCGTTTACAAGATAACTATCAATCTATCAATATTAGTTCACTATTGATCACATCTCACAACTTTACTAGAAAAAAACTTATCTACAAATGTGAAGCAGTCTGTGGTGGTCTAGGAGATCGTTTTCGTGGAATTGTCACATGTTTTATACTAGCACTGGTTTCTGATCGACAATTTATGATTGAAATAACTAATGCATTTGATGTCAAAAATTATTTATTACCGAAAATGTACAATTGGACAACTAATAATAAATCATTGAATTCAAATGTCTCTCGTAAAATTATCCATTCTATTAATAGTGATCCCAGTTTACAAAATGAAATTCGAAATACAAATTTTATTGAGACATGGTCGAAATACGATATCATCGATATATATACAAATATCGATTATGTTTCTGACATATTTCAAAATTCTCTTGTTCAAAAGAATAAGATAATGAAAATGTTTTTGGATAATTTACCGATGGAACAATTGACTCTACATAATTTGTTTCCTTTATTCTTCGAAATTCTCTTTCAACCAAATCTAGAGATTGTTAATGCATTAGAACCAATTCTTCAGATTATTGAAAATGGCTATACACTTACTTGCATACACTTGCGTATGGGAAAGAATCCATCCAATCCGTTAGATGCAGTGTTCCAAGGCCGAGCTTCAGCTGTAAATGATATATTAGATTATTTGAATAGAACAAAATTACGAAGCAAGCAAAATACACGAATATTTGTTGCGAGTGATTCTCAACAAGCTTTATCAAATGTGTTTGCTCAATTTCAAAACCAAATGATATTAGTACCTGGTCCGATTCTTCATATTGATCAACTAACGAATACTGTAAATGTTTCTCATGGATTTCTTAAACTACTTGTTGAATTTTACTTGCTGGGAGAATGTGATACAAGTATTTTGACACCTAGTGGCTTGTCTGGATTAGCTAATCGACGACGAATAGATCCATACCATAATCTATTTAAATACGATGACTTGAATCGACGTATTGAACGATGCCACGACGTTTACGAATATGAAAACCCACCAAAATCCTCAAGTGTTCTATTGTATTGTAGAGTAGTTTTTAATTGTTCTTCTCGCCAATTATAAAATAGAAAGAGGAACGAATAGATGAATATTTGAATTGATTATTGACTGTGAATGCATGTATAGGTGACTTCTTCATGACAGCAGTTCATGTTATGAATATTGTCAAGTAGTTTCAGATAAATGAGATAAAACTGATATATGGTCGCGAATGGTCTTCATATTAGAATCTTTGTAGGTAAAAATTTACAAAGAATAACTTCGATCTATTCTACACGGAAGCTGAACTATTTAGTATCTGTTGTTTCTCTTCGTGAAGTTTATTATTTAATGTTTTTTCTCCCAAAGCTGCCAAAGAAATAAACATCAGATAAGATAAAATTTAGATGAATTTCCAGGTTATTTGAGATCGATATACCTTTTTTGCGTCTACCTAAAATACAAACGTCAACAAGAAATAAATTTTGATCTCAACCGAACGACAAGATTAAAAGAATATCAGTGCCATGATGTCTGAAGAAAAAAACAGAAGATCAAATGTGAATCCACCAAACATGGGATCCCAAGAAGCATATCAAGTTTATTAATTAAGATTTCCTGGAACTCAAAAAAGGCAACAATAGACTCCACAAGAAAGTAGTATATTGCTCGTGCATTATCTTATCATTTATTTCGAAAGATGTGCGATTGCCAATAGATAATGATTTAAAACGTTTTTTAATTTACTGTCATCCATGTGCCTGTTGTACTCTGCGAAATTCACCCGACCCAGTTGAGCTAACAATCTGGTATAGAGTGTTGCTGGCGATTTTACAAGCAACTTGGCGAAAGTTGGGGGGGGGGGGGGGGGGGGGGGGGGGGGGGGGGGGGGGGGGGGGGGGGGGGGGGGGGGGGGGGGGGGGGGGGGGG